GGTGCCACATCTGGATATGACTGTTGGTTGCCTCCTACCTGTGGAATCTTGCATGGCACCTTCTAATAAGACATGTCAGATTCAGAAAGACACCACATGGCTTCACTGGCTCATGTGTGTGTTTATTTACATATGTGTGTTGGGCCCCAGACCCACGGGGTCTCTGTGAGTTGCTGGTCAGCCTACAAGTGCAACTTGTTTTCCAGTCCAAGTGCTCCCTGTTTCCCAGTCCAAGTGCATCCTGTTTTCTAGTCCTGGCTTCCTGCTCTGGTCTTGACCCTCTGACATCAACATCTAGCAGGAGGAAAACACACTCTCTACCTTCTGGGGTTTTTCTACTGTGCTGTAAGCCTGTATATAAAGCTGCTCCCTCCTACAAGAGAGAGACCTCTTAGCACTCGCAATAAAGACACACACACACACACACACACACACACATTCTCCTTGTGGCTCAGGCACTGCATATGTGTGTTTGTCAGTTACAAACTAGAAAAGAGATCATGAGCGGGGAGGAAGAGGTCTTAAAGAAGGTGGGAAACAAAGAGAGTAATGGAAAATATGCAGTAGGAGAGCAGGAGCAGGGACTAACTGGGAAAAGAATGGAAGTGGTGGAATAGGAGGATACAAGGGGAGGGCAATGATTGAGAACAAAATATAACACAAAGGAATAAGCCATGCTGTAACTATTACTTTGTATGCTAATCTAAAAAAAATTAAAAACTTCAGTGGTCTCATCTAAGACCTCATTAAGTCACACACACACACACACACACACACACACACACACACACACACACACACACCATGAGTGTGCTGCGGTGAAGAACCAGTCTAGGATCCAGGATGTAGCTAGAGACAATATCTAGTTATTATCTAGGATGTAGTTATCCACTGTTTACAATGCCCTGGGTTTGTGCCCCAGGGCTTCACCATCCAGGCACGGTAGCACACACTGTAATCCAAATACTTGGGAAGTAGAGGCAGAACAAGCAAAGTTCAAAGTTAACCTCAGGTGCATACCAGGAGGCCAGGTTTGGGGTCACAAAAGAAGACAGACTCAGGGCAGCTCTGTCTTTCTTATGCTTGGGTTCTTTCTCTCCTGTTTTTCTTTTAAATATATTTTGAAGCCAATCACATCTCAATACATCCCACTTTGACCTCTGAAGTCAGAGCTTCTGCCATCACCCGGATTACTCCAGAGATTAAATAATAGATTTGGGACTGTTCACACAGCCTCTTGCCCCTGCCCACCACAATCTAAAATAGCATGCATGCAGCCTGCACCTGGTTGGGCTTTGTGCGTGCGTGCATGCGTGCGTGCGTGCGTGTTTGGGCTACATGGCTATGTACCATGTACAAGCAGTTCCCACAGATGCCAGAAGAGAGTACTGGATCCTCTGGAGTTGGAATTGCAGTTGTCTGATGTGAGTACGGGAAACCAACTCAGGTCCCCTGCAAGAGCCGCAAGCGCCCATAACCACTGAGCCATCTCTCCAGCCCCAGCTTCCAGAGTGCCTGGAATTACAGCACATCTCCGGGCACAGCATGTCTTTACTATTAGAAGTTCCCAAGTGGAAACTTGGATTTGTTCATCTGGAGCTAGGTCAACATGTAACAGCCACTCAACATGTGTTGGAGGAAAGAAATTGAGAATGCTTGAGGGTGTCAGTGCCCAACACAACCCCCAAATTATCCCCCAGGAGACTCTGCTGCTGTTCTGTCCCTCTCCAGATCCATTGTGCCCTTTCCTTGTGCTTCTGACCACACACACACAGCCCTGTCTTTGGGACTGTCCTATTTCAACAGAGAGACACATGCACAGTTCTGATGCTGTTCACGGTCTGCACCCAGACTTAAGTGATGAAACCTGGGTCCCAATCCTGGATCTCAACCTTTCTGTGACTCAGTTTCTTCATCTATAAAAGGGCAATAATAATGCAGGGTCTTAGCCCAACCACGGAAGGCTGAGCTGGGTCTGAGGGAGGGAAAGTGTGTTGCTCGCCCATTTCCCAGCCTCCCAGGATCCCAGAGACAATCAGATCAGCAGGGAGTCTAGTCAAGCAGAACTCGTTTATTGCCCCATGCAAGCATCTTTTAAAGCGAAAAACCACAGAGTAGGAAAACAGTTAGCCAATGGTTTTAAAGGTCAACCTATCACTCGCCTAGGCGCCCTATTCTTTAACTAGTGATCACGAGTCATTCATGCAGTGACTTCATCTGGTTTGATCTTGGCAACCAGTCACTCTTTTTAGTAAATATCTCCTGACTTCCCCTCAGTGCCATCTTTAACTGGCTCGTGTGGCCTTCAAATAATAGTACCCATGCCTCTCAGGTTTGCAGTGAAAATTATATAAAAAGGACATATCTGCATATTGACATTATCAGTGACAGCTCTCTTTAGATGGTGGTGATAAAATTTGATTCTTAAAGACTTGGCTTTAAGAAATACACAGAATTACCCGGGAGTAGGGAATCATCCAGAGAGAAGGAATGTGAGGCCATGTTGGGCACTTCTGACTTGGTGATGTGTGGCAAGGTTATGACAGAGTTGGGGAGTGATCTGGGTGATATTGGGAAGGCAGTTGCTGATGGCAGGGGACTTGGTGGCCCTCCTGAGTTGCTTCTTGCCTGTGGCTGGGGAGGCAAGTTGTAGACCGTGATGCCCAGGACAAGTGCCTGGCATCAGGGAGGAGGGTAGCTGGAAGAAACAGAACATTGCAGAGACAAGTTACAGTGAGGGGGCAGGGCCTACAGAAAGCCTTGGGGTGTCCTGATGGGGGTGGGTGTGGCAGGCGAGGCGGCAGGAGAAGGGTCCTGCAGTACCTGGCTGAGAGTAGCTGCATTCCAACACTCCTTGTCTTTTCCACCAATTTCCTGTCATCTCTGTTGGTCTCAGTGAGATAGGAAAGGATGGCCATCTTCTGCAAGGCACAGAGTCTCAACAGCTAGTCCGACGGCTGCTCCTCATGAAGTCTCCCACATGGCTTTAGCCTACAAGGGACCCATGGGGGACCCGTGACATCCTAACATCACTCTTGTCTTCCCTAAAATATCTTCTCTCTCTTTCTCTCTTTCCTTGGACTATTTTTATTTTAAGTTGTATGCAGGTGGGTGCTTGTGTAGGGCGGGTGCATATACACGCTGCCTGTGGAGGCCTGGGGTGTCAGATCCCCAAGAGGTGGAGTTCCTAGAGCTGGGAGCTGCCTGATGTGGGAGTGCTGGGAACTGAACCCAGGCCCTTGCAAGATCAGTATGCATTTTTTTACTATGAAAAGCTATTTATTAGCTCTTAGTTCTAGAGGTCAGCAAGTCCAAACAGGGCACTGAGATCTAGCTATGTCATCACGTGACAGAAAAGGAAGGGCAAGTCTGCTTCAGAATAAGCATGTTCTACAGAGCCCTTAATACCAAACAGCGCAGGAGCCACGCACCCGTTGCCTAGTTCTTCTGAACAAGGTCACACTGGTATTTCTTGCAAGCCAGGGCTTTTAGTAACACGTTGCCTATATTTATGCGTGTGAAAATATTTTTTAATTTGCCTTTAGTTTGTAAAAGATAAATGTATTGGGTATAAAAGATTCTTGAATGATGCTTTAGTTTGTGAAAGATAAATGTATTGGGTATAAAAGACTCTTGAATGATGCTTTTCCCTCTGAGCAGCCTATCGCTGTTATCTGCTGTTTCTGGTTGAGGGTGTGCTATTTATCCCACTGGGGCCCCTTGAATGAGAGGGGCCTTTGTGTTGCTGTCAAAGCTTTCATTTTATCTTGACGTTCACCATTTGTGTTTTGATTTTTCTGGCAGTATACTTTCTGTTCAATTGTTGGCTTGACTGTACCCAATTGAATATATTTCATCAAACTGGAAAAATCCTGTCTTTTTTTTTCCACTAATGTTTCCCCCTTTCTCTTCTGCCTCTCTGGGACTCCCGTTATATATTGGCTCCATGACATCTTCATTTCTCTGAGGCTCTCTTGACTTTCTAATACCCATTTTCTATCTTTGTTTTTTTTTATTAATCACATAACCTTTAAGAGTACACTCTACTTTGCTGATTCTTCTGTGACTTCACATTGGCTTTGTACCCCTCTTAGTTCATTTTTAAATTTGGGTTTGTAGCTTTTTGTTTGTAGTTTTCAATCCAAGAATTTCCATTAGATTTTTTTTCCTGTATGACATTTATAACATCACCAATAGTTCCTTTTCAATGATGCAGTGTTACCTTATTTTTTTATGTCTTTAACTATGGTCCCTTTAGCTTTTGGCAAATTAATAATGATGTCTTTGAAGATTTTTTTCTACTGTCTTTCGTATATGAACTTTTGACCGTTGGAGATTCCTTTTTTCTTTTTTATATTATATTTTTATTTTTAAATTTAAATTAGAAACAAGGTTGCTTCACATGTCAATTCCAGATCCCTCTCCTTTTCCCTCCCCTCCTCCTGCACCCTCCCACCAACCCCCCCAATATCCCCTCATTTCCTCGGGCGTCTCCCCAGTGCCTGGCTCTTTTTTTTCATAAATGTGTATTGACTGATCAGTGCTAAAGACAGCATGGGTTTTCTGAAACACAAACTAATCTTTGTGACTAATTATACTATTAAAATTATCTGGGCTGCTTTGGACACTATAGAGAGATTGGCAGGATGACAGTGTGTGTCCTGTAAATGTCCCTTACTATAAAAAAAGCAACACAAGCTTATTGAAGGGAAAGCATAAAGCTGAATAAAGCCAAAAATAAAAGAGCCCTTTCTCCTTCCCACCACCCCCGCATCTTTAGCTCGCTTCCATGGGAGGTGTAGCCCGTCAGACATTTTCTAAAGTGATCTTTTCATAATGTGTCTAGAGAAAAAATAAATCGGTCTCCTTCCTGCGTCTTAGCTTGCTTGACTTTGCAATGGATGGCCTTTTGGAGGCCTGTGCATTGAACTGCATCTTGTTCGGTGGCTGCAGATTCCTTCAGTGTGCAGCACTGTGCAGGGCTTCCACAGGGACTCTAGTTTTCAGCCCTGCTAACTTTAATGTGAAAAACTTAACCACAAAGCCATCAGTTTAATTTGCAAAGGGATCCTTGTGGGGCTGGGATGGATGGGGCAGGGGGGACGGAGGGGGATGGACAGGGACAACACCAGACCTGGTGGCCGTTTTTGTCCTTTGTGAAGCACCAGCTGGTGGCCTGGTGCCATGTGCTTCTCACTTAAGGGAACTCTTAAAGCCTCCTCTGGGAACAATGAGGACTAGATGACGGCCAGTCCAGAGGTGTGTCTAGGTCGGAGTCTGGCTGTAGTTTGGACCATAGCCCCAGCAGATCGTGGTTAGGTTTGCTTTCCATTTCCTTCGTGGCTTTGGTTGTTAACCCTGAGAAACAGAAGACAAGGTGGTGTGTGTTGGGCCCCAGCCCCATGGGGTCTCTGTGAGTTGCTGGTCAGCCTACAAGGGCAACTTGTATTCCAGTCCAAGTGCTTCCTGTTTTCTAGTCCTGGCTTACTGCCCTGACCTTGACCCTCTGACATCAACATCTAACAGGAGGAAAACAACGATCTCTTCTACCTGGGGTTTTTTCCACTGTGCTGTAAACTTGTATAAAAAGCTCCTCCCTCCTACAAGGGAGAGACCTGTTAGCACTTACAATGAAGACACACACACACTCTCTCCTGGCAATAAAGGCAACACATACATTCTCTTAGTACAAACAGTTTGTATGTCTTGTCTCTCTTTTCCTGATACCTTAGAGTGGCTTGTGGCGCTGGTGCCACAGGTGTGTGTCCCAGAAGAGCTCCACCTAGGAAGACTGGGTATAGACAGTGATAGTGTATCTGCAGTGAGACAATGCCGTAAATGGAACATGGAGGTACCACTAAGACCTGTGGGGCCATATTTGCTGCAGAATTATTTTTTAAATATATTTTTTAATTGGTAACAGTTCAGATGTCCATGGACAAGTATCTTTGCTTGAGTGTGAAATGTCCTGCAAAAGCTCACGTGTTTGAACGCTTAGTTCCTTGCTGGTGGTGCTGTTGGGACAGATTGTGGACCCTTTAGCAGGCTGAGCCTCTCTAGAAGTGGATGGATGGAGAAGGAGGTTACCGGCTATAACCTGGCCCTGCTTCCATCCCAAGCCCTCTACTTCCTCACTGCCCACGTGGCAGAACCAGCGCCCTGCACTCCCGCTGCCCAGCCATGAGCCACTCCTACTTCACAGCCATGACGTACTGTACCCTGTTGACCCACAAGCCAGAATCCTTCCTCCCTCAGGAAGCATCTTTCAGGCCTTGTGTCATAGTGACAAGACGTAACAAGGGAGGAGAGAGAATGAATAGAGGCCCTCTTGCAGGATGGAATCTGTGACGGCACTGATCTTAGACCAAGGCACACAGAGGAACAACAGAATGAATGACACGTGTGGTGTGAGGCCACGTGAAGACCCGCAAAGGGTTAGATCCACCCAACCAGTGCTAAATCGCCAGAAGTCTATTACTGATGACTTCAGAGTAATAAGAAGGGGAAGGACTTCCTGGTGGGGCCATATTGGGAACCTCACCTTCACCTGTGAACTCTTTCTTTTCCTATACATTTCTTCCTTTCTTCCTTCCTTCAACTTAGTTATCCCTTTTTCCTCTCCTGTTTTTCACACAGCTCGAAGGTGACAAAATTGTATATGTACACACACACACACACACACACCCCGAGTGTGTGTATATATATACATATATAGTGGAAAAATGTTTCTTTTTTAATGTGTATCTTAGTTACTCTTCTATTGCTGGGCAGAGACATTATGACCAATGCGACTTATAAATACAGTATTTAATTGGGGGCTTGCTGACAGTTTTAAAGGGATAAAAGTCCATTATTGTCATGGCAGGAAGTGTGATGGTGGGTACAGGGCTGGAGCAGTAGCTGAGTGTTCACAGCTGACCCACAGTTGTAAATGGAGAGAGAGAGAGAGAGAGAGAGAGAGAGAGAGAGAGAGAGAGGGAGGGAGGGAGGGAGGGAGGGAGGGAGGGAGGGAGGGAGGGAGGGAGGGAGACAGAGACAGAGACCGAGACGGAGACGGAGAGAGACAGAGACAGAGAGGGAGGGAGAGGATGGAACTCTGCCTGATGTGGCTTTTGAAACCTCAAAGATCACCTGCAGTGTTACACCTCCTCTAACAGTGCCACACCTCCTAATCCTTCCCAAACAGTTCCACTAACTGGGGACCAAGCATTGAAACAGATGCGCTTCTGGGACCCATGCTCATTCAAACCGTCACAGTGTGTGTGGTATATGTGTGCATATGCACATGTGCAGGTGTGCTCATCTGTGTGTGCACTTGGGGAGGACAGAGGTCAACAGTGGGTGTACTCTGCCATTACTATGAACCTTACCTTTTTGAGACAGCAACTGTCACTGAACCTGGAGGTCATTGGTTAGCCTAGGCTGACTGGCCAGGGAGCCCCTGGGCTCCCCCATCTCTGCTCTTCAGGATTGGGTTTACAGACACATGTTTGTGGCCAGTTTTTATATGGGTACTAACAGTCTGAACTCAGGTCTTCATGCCTGCCAGCTAAACACGATATTTTATTATACATATCTGCTATAAAGGGTTGTCACAGTCAAGGTAGTTACCATGGTCATAACTCCACATCGTTATCCTCTGCTTCACCTGCTGGAACACTGACAATCTGTTCTCGCAGCGACTTTCATATGCAGGACTCACTGCTGTTAATGACAGCCACTGTATTGTACAATGGACCTCAGAGCTCACTCACCCTGCCCAACTGAAGCTTTGGTCCCCATGTGCCTCATTTCCCCATCATTCTCCACAGCCCCTGGCATCCACGATTCTGTTCCTTGCTTCTGTGGGTTTTTCAGATTCCATACATAAATGTTATAAAATAACTGTCTTTTCTGTGCCTGGTTTATTTCTCTGAGATAATGTCCTACAGATCCATCTACAGTCACAAACAGCAGGATTTCCTTCTTTAAGGTTGAGTAATACTCCAGGGTGGGTAGGTACCATGTTTTCATTTTCCATTCATCTGTAAATGGGTACAGGTTGATTCCATACTGTAGCTCTCCTGGATAACACAGCATGAAGAAGGGAATGCATTTATCTCTTTGATATTCATATTTCATTCTGTTTGGCACAGTTCTATTTTTAAGTCTTTCTTGAGGGACCTACATACTGTTTTCCAAAATAGCGACATCATTTTAAACCCTTCCATCTCTGCACATGGGTTTCTGTCTCTTTGATGCTTGTCTTCTGTCCTTTTGAAATAGCTGTCCTAGCAGATGGTTGGTGATGCTGTGTGGCGTCTGTATGCCTGCCAGCCACTCGAGTGTCTTCTTTTGAGAAATATCTACCCAGTTCCTTTGACCACTTCAAAAATTTTAAGATTGTACAATACCCTTTTAAGACAGGGTATTTCAATGCAGCCCAGGCTGACTTCACGCTAGCAGGCCTGCATCAGTCTCCTGAGTACTTAGTAGGATTACAGGCACACACCATGGCCCCAACTCTTACTCCATTTGTTTTGAGTAATAGGAATTTTTTCTGGCTATTGAGTTGACTTCCTTAGGTATCCTGGATGTTAGCTCCTTGCCAGATGCATACCTGTAAATACATGCTCTCATGCCGGAGGCCGTTCTTCATTCTGTTTTTTTCCTTGGCAAGTGTTTTGGCTTTCTTTCTTTCTCCATAGGCTGGCACTGTACAAACTCACGGCCCATTGGTCTGGTTTTGCTTTTTTGCTGTTATGCTTTGGAGCTGTGTCACAAAAGTCCTAAAATGTCCATTTTCCCCTGTGCTTTCCTCTACAAACAATGGTCTATGGCTTCAGATCTGTGTTTAAGCTTTAATCTATCTTGAGTTACCTTGGAATACAGTGAGGGAAGGGGCTGATCTCATTCTTCTGCATGTGGATATCAACACTGGGTACCAAAGGGGTTGTTTCTTCCTTGTGATCCCTTGGCAGCTTTGTTGAGGACCAACTGTCCACAAATACATGTGGACTCTATTCTATTCTACTGACCTAAATACCTATTCTTATTCCAGTACCACACTGTTTTGATTACTATAGCTTTGTGGCATACTTTGAATTCAAACTGTGACAGGCCTCTAGCTCTGTTATTTTGAGGCAAAAAAATGCTTTATATAGGATTGTTTGTGGTTCCATGTGAATGTTAGGATTTCTTTTTCTATTTCTATGAAAAAAATTGATACTGATTTTTTTTTTCCTGAGACAGGGTCTTATTCTAAAGACAAGGCCAGCCACAAACACAGAGGTTCATCTGCTTCTTCTTCTCAAGTGTTTGGATTAAAGGTGTGTTTTGCCACACATGCTGCCATTAAATTTTTGATAGGAGTTGCATACAATCAGTAGATTAAGAATTATGGGCAATTTAGCAACGTTAATCATTTCAACCCCCAAACAGAGACTACTTCTCTAGTCATTTGGGTCTTCTTTCATTGGTATTTCATGGCTTTTAGTTGACAAATGTTTACCTTCTTGATTAAACTTACCCCTGAGTATTTCTGTGCTACTATCATGGGATTGTTTTCTTGAATTCCTTGTTCAATTGTTTGCTGTTACTGTGTAGAAATGCTGCTAATTTTCTCTCTCTCTCTATGATTCCTGCGTGTCGAAATGTGTGTGTGTGTGTGTGTGTGTGTGTGTGTGTGTGTGTACATTTGTGCATGTGTATGTGTGTGTGTGGAGACCAGGAGGTTGGTGTCAAGTGTATTTCTCAAATGATCACCTTAATTTTGGGGCCAGGGTCTCTCATTGAACCCAGAGCTTACTGACTTGGCTTGGCTGGCTGAGTAGCCAGCCCTGGGACCTTCTTGTCTCTGTCTCCGCAGTGCTGGGATGACAGGCATGTACCAGCGTACCCAGGTTTTATGAGGGTGCTAGGGATCCAAACCCAGGTACCCGTGCTTGCACGCCAAGCACTCACTTACTGATCCATAGCTGCAGCCCTAAGTTTTGTATGTTAGATGTGTAGTCTTGCAGCTTTACCAAACTGCCTTATCAGCTTTTGAATCTTGTTTGCTTATTTTTGTTTGTTTTTGTTTTTGGAGACAGGATTAGGGTTAAGGTTAGGGTTAGGGTTAGGGTTTCTCTGTGTAACAGTCCTGTCTGTCCTGGAACTCACTTTGTAGACTAGGCTGGCCTCAAACTCACTGAAATTCGCCTTCTTCTGCAACCCAAGTGCTGAGATTAACAGTGTGTGCCACCACTGCCTGGCCTTGAATCTTTTAAAAAATATTTATTTTAGTATGTATGTATGTATGTATGTATGTGTATGTCAACGTGTGTGTCTGTGAACTCTCCAGAGGCTAGAGATATAGCTCTGCTGGTAGGGTTCCTATCTAATGATCACAAAGTTCTGGGTTCAATCCCTAGCACTGCATGTATATGGTAAGGGGCAGTGCTTGGAGGTGGAAGCAGTAGGATCAGGGGTTCAAGGCCATCCACTACTACATAGCAAGCTTAAGATCATCCTGGAATCATAAGACTCTGCCTCAAAAGCAAGTTGGCAAATAAGTTGTAATTAGGTGCATGTCTGACTAAATTAAAATCCAGAATTTGGAGAGAGAACTGTACACCAGGGTTCATAGCATTCTTCACAACAAAGGGTGGAGATGCCCTGTACACGCACCCAAGGATGAGTGAATAAAATGTGGTATTTAGAAAGGAAAAAAAGCCCCTAGGTTAATGGTTCAGTAGATAAAGTGCAAACTTGAGGTCCAGACCCCACATAATTCTTGGTGGCTGGGGTGACCCACATATGATTCCAGACTCAGAAGGCAGAAATCCCTGGAGCGAGCTGACTATGGAAACTAGCCTCATTGGTAGTCTCTGCATTTGACTGAGAGACTGCCTCATGAACACTGTGGAGAATGATGGAGGGACACTCCAGATGTCAACCTCAGCTGCCTGCCCGCCCCCACCCCAAGCACACATAAAGAATGAAATTCTGATACACGCCACAACACAAATGAACAGAAAAGATAGTGTGTTAAATGAAATGTCGGACACCAAGGGACAGATACTGTGGGGAATCTACTCATACGTGGGATCACAAGTAACCAGATTCTTAAAGATGGAAATGGAATGGTGCCTGTTGACAGAGGAGATGGGGTTACAGTTTGATAGGTGACGTTCCATTTAAAAAGATGAAAACCTCTGGAACCAGTGCAATGGTGTCTACCTGAAGTTTTGGCATATAAGGGACAGAGGCAGGAGGATCACCACAAGTTTGAGGCCAGCCTGGTCTACATAAAGCTCTGGACCAGCCCTCTGGGACTACTAGGTAAGGTACATACATATGTCCTGCTTCAGAAAAAGAATGTTCTAGAGAAAAACAGTGGTGATGGTTGCTCAGCGCTAGTACATTAACACCACTGAACTGCCACCTAAAAGGTTTAAGTGATGAGGGGGTGTCCATGTATATTCATCACAATATAAGTAAATGAGTGGATAAGGCAAACTAGTGAAAACGGCAGGTAAGGAACTTTAAAAGTTTGCCCACACATAGAATAAATTTAAAAATCTTGTAAAAATTGTTAGGATTAAGTTTTTAGAAGTCTGGAAACCAAGGAACCAGAAGAATGCCTAGAAAGAAAACCAGCCAGGCCACAGGAAGGTCAGCTCTGTGGGGTCTTAACTGGTCTGAGTCCTGCCCCTACTTTCAAAGAATTATGGGACATACAAAGAGCCAATGATAGTCTGCATGCAGGGGACCTTCCCACGGTGGTAGGGATGAACCCAGGCTCAACCACGGAGCTACAGTCCCCAGAACAACTACCTATTTTCAGAATATTCAAAGAACTAAATATAAAAAGGAAATTATGGGAACAGTGAATGAACAGGGAGATAAAATTAATAAATAACTAAAGAGCTAGAACATTAAAAAGGGACCCAAATGGGATTTTTGGAGCTGAAAATCATAATAACCACCCCCGAAATTCCATAGAGCATTTCAGCATCAGACTGGAACCGAGAGGGAAACAATTGGCTGACTTAAATCAATCAAGATCATCAGGCCTGAGAAACAAAGACAAATGAACTCGGTTGCCAAAAGTTGACCTACGTATGTGTAATGCAAACACAGAGATAAAGGGGCAGAAATGGTCACGGTAACAGTGGCCCCAGATATGATGAAAGCGTGGTTCAATATAGGCAAGAGGCCCAACAAACTTAAGTCAGATAAATAGGAATAATTACATTATCCATAGTATCCCCAAAACAGAAACAGTCCTCTCATAAGAGGAGAATGGATGGGGGTAATAGCGCACGCATGTCCATCAGTATATGGACATGTATGTAATATTATCTGGCCTTATAAGAGAATGAAGCACTAATAAACACAGTAACACATATAGCCTTGAAATCATCATGCGGCATAAAAGAAATCAGACACAGAAGGCCGCTAAATACACAATCCAGTTTAGATGTGTGTTCAACATAGGGAAACACATAGAGATGCAGGGTAGACTGAGTCTGCCAGGCCAGAGAAACAGGGGAAATGGGACTGTAAATAGCCAGAAAAATCTTGAATATTTCTGCAAAAAAATGTCAAACTCTTGAATTCCAAAGTCAAACTAACAATCTACTACACACTTGTTATTCGTTCAAGTATCAGTATAATTATCTCCTTTAATTAAGCCATTAATAATAACCATAATTTTTTTCATTGTTTTGCAAATCATTTACAATGCTTAGTATGGAAATTGATATTTTGAGTTAGTTTATTTAGTATGCTGTATATTCTCATTTTAAGTGCTGGAGGCTGCTGAATAAACCTGTCTTTTCTTTGAAGGTGAAAGTGAGTCTTTTGTTCTTGTGAATAAAATGGTCTTTTTCTTGTGAAATGACTGATTGGTAATGACTGTCTATTCTGAGAAGTATTCTAAGGAGTGAGTTCAGACTCAGGAGAACGGTGTGGTGTTAGATTAGTGATGTCTGCTATGAGCATGGCACTGGAGAGCTGGCCAGGCAATTATTATTTTATCAGCTAATCCTGGAGAGTGAAGGAAATGACAGATAGCATTTCCCAAACACCTCATCTTCGGTGGTGATAAGCAGCCTCTTGGCTTCATAAACATAATCAAAGAGGAATTAATGGGATTTCCCTCAAAAGCATTGGACTTTTCTAAAAAGTATGTTTCTGATAAAAGTTCATGGTTTCACAAGTAACCTCCTCACCTTTACATCTTTGAGTAACTTCAGTAAACTCACTGGTTCACTAGGATAGAAATCATTTTTTTTTTTGTCTGTGCCTATGTTCTCTATCTGGCGTGAATAGAAACAGACTGCTCAAGAAAAGGTCACTTAACAGTCCCCACCCCCTCAAGAGCAGCTATAGCCTTGTCCCAGTTCTGATCTCTGGCCCTGCCCCTGATAAAAACAGTCGTGGCCTGACTCAGAGATGGCTCGCCACCTCCGGGCTGGAAGCATCTGCGTTCGCCCTTCCCCTGCCAATCGCCAGGTGGGTGACTCCAGGGAAATGACCAATCTGGGCCATTGTATCCTTATCTGGGAAACACTTCCTTTGTTCTTCCAGGGAGGCTATCGGTTGGGAATGAGAAAATGCACAGGAAAGATCACAGGGACTTCCAACGTCAAACAATGGACAGATTGGCTCTCACAGCCCAAACCCATTCCCCAGAGGACAGCAGGGGTCAGCAGGAGACAGTCACCACCTTCTTAGGACCCACGTTCCATTTCCCCAGACTTCCTCTCTTTGGTCACCATTATCCACCAAGTGAATCTCTTCTGAGGGCCCAGGCCAGTAGCCTGCTAGGACTCTGTGTTTCTACGGAGTTGTATCTTACCATGAAGTTGTCAACACTCATCCAGCGCTAGCAGTTGTGTGAAACCAAGGCCTGTTAGAGAGCAGATCCCACCTGGCCATGTGGTTTCCTAGAACCTGCCCAGTACCTTAGCTTGGACCCACAAGCTGAGAGCATGGGGGAAGAAAACTGAGCTCCGTCTCCCAGAGGCCACCCTGGCTGTGTGAGGGACTGGAGACATGCTCACTCTGTCAGGCAACTTGTGTACGTGAGGGCAGGAGCTGAGCAGGAGGCAGCCGTCTCCCAAAGGGGGAGTCTTCTTAGCCACACCCAGAAGGCATCTTCCAGAATAACCTCGTCAAGCCCAGGTAATAACACGCATTTCATCCTGTTTCTCCTAAGTCCAAATGTTTGCTGAGAGATGCCGTGGTAACCATGACGCCATAATGGAACATTCTTCCCAAGGCATAGAAGAAACTACGCTGTAGAGCTCTGCTGCATAAGGCCACAGTGAGTTCATTTCTCCTTTAGTGGGAACGGTTCACAGAAGAGCTTGCCACACCATCCCGAGGACAAACGAAACATCTCACGTCATGAGGGGAACATGGTGACTTAGAACTGTGCGCACAGTTTCCTTAGGTCATGGTGCACAGTGTGAGGTGAAGCCCCCGTGGGCTTAGGGGTTCATATAGTTTTGAGCTCACATTCCAGACTCACCGCTTAGCTGCTGTGTGACCTTGGGCCTGTTACTCAATGTCTGAGTGTCAGTTTCTGAGTCTGTAAAATGAGGATTATGAGAGTGCCTATGTCTAGGGTGGCTATATGAATGAACTGAGCTAAACGCTGAGACCGTTGCTAGTGAAGACATCCCAGCAAGACTTGATGTGAGTTTTAATAGGAGGGTGAGATCACAGTAAGACACTAATCCCTGGGAGGGCTCCCACCAACACCCTGTCTTTTTTTTTCCAGCAGTGTTTTATGGCTATACAGTTAAAGCAGGGGTTGAATTCCACAAATCAAAAACCAACCCTTATTAGAGAACCAACTCTCTAGCACACCCGGGGCCCCAGCTGCCCTGAGAAGAAAACTGGAGAAAGCAGAGTACCCTTTCTCCTTGGGCCAGCTCTCAAGCTGCTAGCTGAGCATCGGAACCAGACAGCCGCTTCCCACCTATGCCTGTACAGAGCCCAGAGTTGGGGATGTGACAGGTCAGTTTGCCACCCAGGAACCTTTGGTAGTAACAAGGAATTGGCTTCTGCAGTGGGAATCACCCCTTGGGGTGTGGGAAGGTGATGGAGTCTTGCGTCTTGTGTCTTCCCAGCTGCCCATGGTGCTCGCTGCGTTTCTCTCTGGGGATGGCAGGGATGCGAGTGGTGCTGCTGGTCCTGCTGTACATATCTCATTCGTCATCTGCCAGTGAGTGCAGCTCCCTTCCCAAGGCGTCCAGTGACAGGTGGAGCCTGGGCTGGGCTGGGGTGGAGGGCCATCCAGGAAAACCCAGTGGCCCCTAACGCCCAGACAGGGACTCACTTGGTAAGGAAGCCAATCCCCAGAACTTTGTCCTGGGCAGCAAGTGTGAGTTGTGGGAACTAGGCAATGCAGTGTCAGGGCATGGGTGTGGGACTGATTCTAAGACAGGAAAATCAGCGTTAGGACACAGAATGGCCTATGGGCAGAGGGGTCAGTGTGAGAACTGCCTCCCACACAGACTTGATGTGAGTCCCACAGCAGCAGATGTCTGTTGGGCAGCAGAAGTGGCTGCTATGCTCCCCCCTTCCTGACCTGTAGACTGCTCAGGACTAACTAACGAAGCTTAGGAAAAGGTAGGTGAAGAGAGGACAGAGGACTTAAGAGGGCTCTGTCCACCTTTGCTGCCATTGGTTAGATGGGTGATCTCTCTCTCTCTCTCTCTCTCTCTCTCTCTCTCTCTCTCTCTCTCTCTCTCTCTCTCTCTACACACACACACACACACACACACTCACACACACTGCACAGACTGCACACCTGCCTCTCCTCCCTTTCCCCTGCCAAGGAGACCAAGAGACCATCAGAAACAGACACAGCATGTTTCCCATCAAGCCATAGCTGAGAGCCAGAACAAACACTTGGTTTGTTTTCTCATCATGGCATTAGGGATGGAATCAGGCACAAGGCAGTGACTGCATAAGTATTCTGCCTCTCAGCTGCTTCCCCAGCATCCAAAAGCGTTTTGGAAAAGGGAATGCCATCACATACAGGGAGGTTCTTGGCTTGGGAAGGATTGGATAATCCCTGTGTTACAGATCATCAGTGTCTCCAGAGAAAAATCAGAGCATAGACAAGGAATGTCATGGTTGGTATTTCTGAAGTATCCTTAGTGTTGTTCCACCAAAGCCTGTGTAAGGGCCTATCTATGGATGGAAATTTGGTCCCAGGATACTCCATAATGAAGAGGTCCTCTGAGTTCTTTTTTGTTGCTATTTGTTTTATTTTGTTTTTTGAGACAAAGTCTCACTCTGTAGCATTGGCTAGCCTAGTGCTCAGTAGGTAGACCAGGCTGGCCTTGATCTACCTGTCTTTGCCTCCTGAGTGCTGGGATTAAAAGCATGTGCTTCCTTCCATACCTAGCCCTCTCTGAGTTTTTGACAACACTGTAGATGACAATGTACTGTATGTTTTGGAAATGTCTTTGCTGCCAACATCCTAGGTCACCACCAGAAGAAGCCCTTCTACTCTTCATGTTTTCCCTTCTGAATACTCATCCTTTGGGCCATATCTTTCTGTGGCCATCAGTCCTTCAAGTGTCACTGCCACCGACTCCCAAAGTCCATCCCTACAAGTTTAGTTCCCAAACCAGTGCCTGGCAGGGCTCTGTACAAGTGGCTGACTGGCTGAAAGGGCATTCACTGGGAGCCCAAGGCACAGGATCTGCTATGGGTGCCCGTTACACGGCATGGAGACCCAAGACCACCAACACAGAAGTAAGCATCGGGCATTTGCAGTTTGGCATGTGAGAGCAAGCACGGAGATTGTTTGTAGTTTTGGAAACAGTATTGTCAGTTTTGCTCCAAGGCTCAACGCTATCATTTACAGAGACAGAGTTTGCATTTTCCCATAATCTCCCCTGTGGTCTTGCAACAATCCCAAGTGGTGCATAGGTCCATGACTATACCCTTCAAAAGAGGAAACAGCACCAGAGAGAGCAGTGGCTTGCCCAAGATCTCACAGCATACTAAGAGACTAACTTGACTTTGAAGTCTGCTTCTGGACTCTTCCCAAATTCAAGTCAGGGTCTTCCCTGGGAAAGCTTTTTAGCAAATGCAGTGTCCAGAGATTTTTTTCATATGTGCCAGATGCTCTTGGGGTGGAGAATATCTATACCCTGTCTCCACAAGGAGCTGAGAAAGAGTCCTGTGGGCACTGGAACTCAGCAAGGTGTGTCAACCGCTGATGGAGGACAAGGGGCAATGGGAGGAATCAGCAGTTTGGGGGGAGCAACAGAGTTCTTGGAGTTGCTATCTTCTTATGAATGATCCCTGGAAAGCTGGGGCTCAGCTCACCAACCCAGCACTGTAAGAAAGCCCATTCCTGTCCTCACCTTGTGCTTCCTTCTCTGGCCTCCATGATCTTTTCCTGTTCTAACAGTCTCTATGCGTGTATGAATATAGAACTTTAAGAACAATACAGGTCCATCCAACCTCAGGCTGGCAGAAGAGGCATGGCATTTGAACAACATTGTACTTACTCTCCATGGAAACAAAATCCAGCTTTCCCAGGAGAATGCACAGTTGAACAGTCTGGAAGGCAGAGGATGAGCAGGATTGGGAAGGGGAACTGAGACAACCTCCACATGCCAGGGATTTTATCTCCTCTGTGACAGGAAGTCAGGGAATAGATAATGGTCAGAGTCATTTTACCAGATAACTTAATAAACACCAACTAAACACTAGGCACCATGCTAGCCCCTAGGGACACAGTGACAAGCAAAACAGACCGGTGGGAGGAGCCATACATGTCAGCAGCTTGCAGGGGATGCAGGGAAAGGCAGCATGAATCCGAGGCTAAGGGTGTGTCTGGAACACATTCGCTAAGTTTAGTGGTGGAGTTTGGACTCCTTGGCATTGGCTCCACATGTTTCCACCTGTTGGGATGGAGACAGGTGCTGTCGGCCCTAGAGCTAGGGTCCCTCATCCACTTTAGCAGTGCCCACCTCCAGGGTTAGGGGAGACTTGTCCTGAGTAGTGAATGTTGGCCATGCTCAAGACCCTTTCATTTTCTTAAGTTCTTGGGGGCCCCTAAACCATGTTTGCTCCAGAGGCTTTGTCCTAGCTTAAATTCTGCTGCTGTGGTGAAACTAAACGCCACACCTGAGAAGCTCAAGCGGCTGTCACCTCACCCACAGTTGAGAGCAGCGAGAAATGAGCACACATGCTGCCTGCTTGCTCGCTCAGCCAGCTTTCTTTGCTTTTGTTGTTCTCCTGATGTTTTGGACAGGGTCTCGCTGAGTGGCCAGAACTCTCTGTGTAGACCAGGCTGGCCCTAAACTCACAGAGATTCCCCCTACCTCTGCCTCCTGAGTGCTGAGATTAAAGGTGTAGGCCATCACCCCTGGGGCTTTTTCACTCTTACACAGTTACTGTGTACTACAGACAGTACACAGGTTCTGCTTCCTCTTCTATTATTCAATTAGCAATCAAGGCAGTCCTCAATAGACATGCTCTCAGCTCAGCCTTAACTAGATAACTCTTCATTAAGGCTCCTTCCCCAAGGTTGGAGAGATGACTCAGTGGCTAAGAGCACTGGCTGCTCTTCTAAAGAACTGGGGTTCAATTCCCAGCACCCACTTCCAAAGGAATCCAATACCCTCACACAGACATACATGCAGACGAAACAGTGTACATAAAGTAAAAGCAACTCATTAAAAAACAAAACAAAACTCTCTTCCCAAGTGATTTTAGGGTGCAGCAAGTTTATAATTAAAGCTAACCATCACAGGCCCTATCTTTTGCATCTACCATAGAAATTAAACCAGAAAAGGTTAAAGCACAAGAATATACAAATTCAGGCATACATTTGGCCATCAGAATGACGACATCACAAAGCTATAAAACTGCACCATACACTTGTGAGAGTTGGGGAAGCAAGCAACAGCTTTTCCGTGAAGAAAGGGTCTAGGCAAGATGCTTACAGGTCCCGTTGCCACCTGCTTTGGCATGAAAAATTGCCAGACAAGGCCTAGGAAGTGGTGCTGCGCCCGACAGCAGAGTGCCAGTAGTAGGGTCCAGCAAGACTTTTAAAGGGTTCAGAGATGCTAGCAAGCGTCTTTTAGTGGAAGATCCCCTGGGATGAACAAAGCATCAGGGTGGTAGAGTCAGAGCCCCAAGCAAAACAGAACCTGCAGAACGGGAGTCCCAAGAGCTTGGGGAATGGTGGTGCCCACAGGGGGCCCGCTCCTTGCCACATAGTCAGGCCTATGCTCCCTCTGCAGTTTGCGGCATCCAGAAAGCCAACATTGTGGACGACTCCGAGGA